TGAGCGACTTGCTCGCGGCGCTGATCAACTTGAACTGTGTCGTTGTCATCTGTTCTTGTCCGTGTTAGGGTACGTTTCATTAGTTCGTCAAGTTCGGTTAATCCGTCAGGGATGTAATTATTAGTATTTCTGTCCGCTTCTGTGTTGCCTTCCTACATTAATGGTGCATTCTTGCSAATGGTGAAAATAAAAAGTTGCCATGGTGCTCCAATCAAATGAGGTAACGATAATTTTATAGTTTTTTGTACATTTTTAGGTCTCGATGGAGGGTTTCATTTTAAAGTGTTTACCTTATACATGAGATAGCTTGTTCTTCAGATGGAGGTGGGATCTTGACTCTTCAGAGGCAGTACAGCTGCGCTTAGGTACGGTTTTTGGTTTTCACGTGGTTTCTACATGTCATGACCTCATGTTGGTAGCAACTCATTATAAAAGACCAAAAAACTTTAAATTTACGCTTGATAAAAATTTTTTTTTCCTAGTGATAGGCAAAAAACAGCTACTTAAAGCGACATGTTACAACATAGCATTGTTGTGATTACACAAAGTTCAAAAATTAAAACATTTGCTAAATGTTTCATTGGAATGTAAAGTAATAATGTATCAGACCTCAAGCTAAATTGTGGATACACCTAATTTGTTTAAATATTGTTAGACGTCGCTCTCATGCTAAACTAAAATGGACTTGAGTGGACAAAAAAGTTAAGAATGCAATAGTTGAGGTTGGTGGCAGATTACTCTCAGTAAGGGCAAATTTTGATTGTTATGCTTTTTATGGAAGGCAGACATTTGTAGCGCAAATATCATAAAGAATATTATGAGTTACTTATGTATAGAAATAGTCTGCCATACTTAAAATTGCATAAAAAATGGAATTTTTTCCAAAGATAATCCGAATGTATGTGAATACAGCAATTATATGGTTAGCGATGGAAATTTAATTCTAAAACGAAAGTCTTGTTCCGTTCTCATAAATACTACTTTGATCAAAAAGTTTCAGGAATGGTCACAGTGTTGCTCTTTCACTTGTTAAATTGATATATATTTATACTAAAATTTTGGAAATGATCGATGTAAAGAGAACCAACATACAATACCTCTTCGTTGATTTCAAAGAGCAGAGCTAAATAGAGCAGGTAAAATCTTCTACAAGAGATACAGCTGCTGGCGATGATATTGATATCATTGGCCTCAACACTAGCTGTCTCTTATACACATCTAGATGTGTATAAGAGACAGCATTGACATAGTTCAGCGAATTAAAAGACAGCGGCTACGCTGGCTAGGTCATGTTGTCCGGATGGACGAAAACGCTCCAGCTCTGAAAGTATTCGACGCAGTACCCGCCGGGGGAAGCAGAGGAAGAGGAAGACCTCCACTCCGTTGGAAGGACCAAGTGGAGAAGGACCTGGCTWCRCTTGGAATATCYAATTGGCGYCACGTAGCGAAAAGAAGAAACGACTGGCGCGCTGTTGTTAACTCGGCTATAATCGCGTAAGCGGTGTCTACGCCAATCAAGAAGAAGAAGATTCGTCTTTCTTTTTTGATTTTAAATGTTTATTGCCAAGCAAATACTAACTTTCATCCTTTCTTTCCTCAAAATCCAACTTCATTATTAAAATATAAATGCAGGCATAAAACCAGTTTGCCTGTTGATCATGTAAATTCTCTTTGGCGTGCATTTCGCCCATTACAAGCCAACTGAGGTGTTGCAAATACTACATCAACACCTGGAACTTTTACTAATGTCTTTTGCGGTTGTTTTCTTTGTCGATTTMACCAACCGCGGATTTGCTGCGTTTGCTAGTGTATGTAAGCATGTATGTGCAATTGGCAATCACAGCTTCATTGTTTCTTTGTTTTTGCTTATGTTTTTTTTTCTGTTGTTATGTTGTTGCTGTTGATTTGTTGCGTGTTCGCTGGCATTTGGAAAACAGTTTTGCGCATATAGAGAAAAGGGCAGACTGCCGAGAGTGGAAATGGAAAGAAAGGTTTAGTGTTAACCTCCATTTTCGATTTGTTGTAATAATTATTACATTGCGTTRTATTACTTCGTTTGGCGCTATGTTTGCAAAGCCTTTCACTGATTGCAACGATTCCACTGTTGCTGACGGCGACACACTTACCCACCAACCGAGAAATGTGTGTGCGCGGAAATTCGATTAACTGTGGTTCATGTCAACAGATGTCTGAACACACCCTTTCGCTTTACCTTCACAACTCCTCGAGCGATAGTTCTCCTCTCTCTTTGATTATGTTGGTTACATTGAATTTTTTCCCTTGTTAAAAATTAAATTTACATAAAACCGACATGAAATATAATTATTCTATAAAATCTTCAAATAGCGTACTCTGGCGTATAGTTATTACACGGAAATACTATACGGGGTGTGTTCAAAAAGTATCGCGAATTTTGTGTTTTTTCAAAAATTATTTATTTGTTCATGAATATCTATTTTGTCCCCTTCAAAGTAATCCCCATGAAATATTATACACTTGTGCCAACGGTTTTTAAAATCTTCGAAGCACTTCAAAAAATTATTATTATTTTTTTATCTTCTTCAGCTCCTCCTTCGATGCCGTCTTTATCTCGTCGAGAGAAGCGTAATGTCGTCCTTTCACGGGCCTCTGCAGGGGGCCAGATCTGGGGAATACGGTGGTTGCGGCATCATTAGTGTGTTGTTTTTGGATAAAAAGTCGCGTACAAGCAACGATGTGTGAGCAGGGCCGTTATCGTGGTGCAAAAGCCAATTTTTGTCACATCTTCTCGGCCTTCTGAGAACATTTGGTACCACCGATACACGTTGCTTCGATCCAAGGTAGCTTCTACGTATGCCACAGTCAACATTCGGAATGCATCCGCGCACTTAATTTCGTTTTTCACACAAAATTTGATACAGGTTCTTTGATCCATTTTTTTGAATAGGTAAAAATCGAAGACGATCCAAGCAGCTGTCAACAATTAAATGAACATTCAAAATGGCCGAGCTTGTCGGCATAAGTGAGAGACATAAGTACCAACATAACGCCACAAAAAATTCGAAATTCGAATATACGTAACCCGCGAAAATTCAAAACTCGCGATACATTTTGAACACACCTCGTATGTTAGTTCGCCCGATAATGGCGTTTTATTTTAATAATAGAGATCGCGTATGCTTTTMCTTTGTATGTGCTCTCGGCTACAATCTCACAATTTTGAGTAGTTCCGCTTTTCCACTTCAAACYTCTTTATCATGTAATTTCTAACCAGAAAGAAAATGACATTATCGTATTAAAATTTTACATCTTACTTTTCTTTATTGGCGTAGACAACGCTTACACGGTTATAGCCGAGTTTACAAAAGCGCGCCAGTGGTTCTTCTTCTTCGATATTTGGCACCGTGYTSACTGCAAWGGATTATAAATCTTCCGCAGAACCTCTCTCGAAAACTAGCAATGTCGACTCATCAGATGTTGCCATCGTCCATGCCTTAACACCATATAGAAKSACGAGAATWATAAGTGACTTACAGAGTTTGGTTTTTGTTCGCCGAGAGAGGACTTTACTTCTCAATTGGCTGCTCAGTCTGAAGTAGAACCTTTGGGCAAAAGTAATTCTGCGTTGGATTGTGTGCYTGACATTGTGTTTGGTGTTTGTACTAGCTAGAATAGAGACGAATTTATCTACGAATTCGAAGTTATGACAGTCAACAGTGACGTGGAAGCCAGAGTATGATGACTGTTTGTTTGATGACAGCAGATATTTCGTCTTGTCTCGTTCACATGTCAAGGATCAGTGGAAGCCATTTTGAAAGGTCATTTTGGCTTAAGAAAAGTGAAAGCACGACTTCGAAATCGCTAAATCTTGTCAATAAACAGCATCACTTAACAATACTTTCCGACTACCAGAATGTCATTCAACGTATTGTTACCGACGATGAGTCTTTCATCTATGTTTTCCATCTGGAAACAGACGATCAATCGGCCGAATATCGTGTTAAAGGTGAACTGAGGTCGAAAGTACCATGTGAAAGCAAGCCAAAAATCAACGCTATTTTGACAGTTTTTTTCGATTATCGAATTCCTTCCAGCAACAAGGAATACTATTTGAGAGTTATGCGTTTGCGTGAAGCTATTCGTAAAAAAGGTCGGAATTATGGGCTCGCATTCTTGGTTTTGGCAACWTGACAATGCACCGTCACAAACTGAATTGTTTCTTCTTGAGTTTTTCGCCAAGTTATTAACCAATATCGTATTTGCAACCACTGTATTCGCCTGATTGAGGCGACGTGTTACTTCTGACTATTCAGAAAACTCAAACTCTGGTGAAATCAGTTTGGAAATTTGCTTTGAAAACTCTTTCGAGGATTGAGAAAACGTTGGCACAAGTGTATTGGGGACTTAGTTTGTCTTTGACGACATGGATTTTGAAGTATTTTTTCCTTCAAGTATTACATAGATCTATGAGATAGAAAATGTGATTGTAACCCATTCGGTTTCTTCGAATAATGAATGTTAAATTCTACAGCAATATTTTGGATTACAAAGTTATGACAACATCTGACAGTTTTTCCTTATTTTTGTCTTTACGAGTTTTGGGAGTATAATATATTCTAAGCTCTCCTTAGTTGCATTACATTACACTTGTAGGTCGCACTCATTCGAACATTTATTTCGCTTTCGATGCTATGCTTAATCAAGCATATTAAGTGTTATCGGCTACAACATATTTATTCCAGCAATTTGCATAACTGTATCCCAGTCATACACACACACTATCAAATGTGTTAACGWCCGCAGGAGGTGGGAGCCCTTTCTGATTTACCACATAAATCACAACGCGATGCAGAAAGCAACAACAATGAAAAATGTATTGAGAAATATATTTTTTTTACAGAACCTAAAACTGCAAAAATATGCCGTTATGAGGGGTAAAAATATTCAACACACCTGCGTTACAACAAGGGCAGACACACAGATTTATTTTCATAAATAAATTTAGATTTGGCTGAACTCACCTTAGTCGCGGTAATTCGCAGTAGACCCAGTCTGTGACTTCTTCCAGTCGCACTTCTTGGTGTGTATTGGCCAGATCAGATTTATTGCCGGCGATAACAATGGGAATATCCTTTGGCAACAGCGATTTATACCATGAAAAGGAAGAGAAAGGTAAAAAGTTAAGTATATTTATACCTTCGTGTTTAAGTTTAAGCGAAATAGCAGTAAATATAAATCTACCAGTGATAACCTGTTTTTGAATTTAGAACCGAAAATAAAAACAACTACGCCAAATCCGTTCAAAAATCAAGCCCTTACCCTTATCTAAAATATTTCTGTCATATTAAACATACAAGTGTTTGCATTATGGCATCGTACAAAATATAAACGAAAAAAATAAAATTTCTAAAAAAATAAATATAGTAAATATCCATAAAATGTCTCAATGCACCAACATTAAAGGAAAGAATATTCGAACGAAGGATGCAACTAATTCCAAAACTGATATACTCTCCAAATGCCAGCTTACATAATACCGTAATTTACGCGTCACGACATAAACGGAACTTATGGCTAAAGTCCACTTTGCCCCGTTGTATTAAATACGGAAAATACTTAAACATATCTAACATGTTCCTGCACTCCTTCAAAAAGAGCAATACCAGTAATTTAGTATTTCGGAAACTCTTCTTAGAGTTAATGAAAATGTATGAAGAAAGCAATTGGACTGCAATTTACACAGACGGGTCCAAAGCGATAAACAAAGCTTTTGCTCTCATCAAACCAAATGGAGAAGTTATTACAGGCGGGATTCTTTCATAGCAAAGGAAAATTTATTAATTTATCATCTTCACACGTCTAAGGATTGACCACACACAACTCACACATCAGCACCTTCTTACTGACAAAGTAAAACCATCACATCTTTAACGAATGTTCGGCTTTAGCGAGTATTAGGCAAAAGCACAATTTTGTGCCAAACTATCAAGAAATGTTAAAAATTCCTTCGTTTACAAATATTATGAGTATTTTTAATTTTATTACTGATTGTTACCTACAAAATAAAATATATCTTTATATTTAGTTGGTAACCTAAGATATTTGCTTGTTCAGAGTCGATGGCTTTAATAGCTCGTACTCTGCTTTTTTAAATTAGGTTTAATACTACTTTGTATATTTCTCCTAATAAATAAATAAATAAATGTCTCAAAATAAAAACAAATGCCGAATGTTGACAACAAACTGTTGCGAAAAACAAGAATACAAAGGATGTTGTCCGAGAAATTGAAGAGCACCATGGGATCTAAAGTCAGACATGAAGCACTAAAATATAAAAAAGTAATATAAATAAAATAAAAGTAGTATCCTCGGTGGTACGACTATAAAAACGGGAGCATCACGCTAACTAACTATCAGTATCCGCTAGTCAAAGTCATTAAAGACTCTAATCTATACTCTTGAACTCTTTGAAATAACAAATGCACATATCTCAGCATTTGAAGAGCTGTTGTCAACTCAACCAGTATCGCTCTGGTATACTCTTTTCCTACATCGTATCGAAATGATGCATGTATATGCTCCTTATTTCGAAAACTCTTTGCGATTAGCCAAATCAAAATACTACGTCACAAAAAACTTGATTGCCCATATGAAACCAAAAGTATATCGACTAAAGTCTGACGAATATCTAATACTTAGACGGGAGCAATCTTTCCGCAACCACTTGCGGCGGGAAGTAAGAATTGCAAATTCGCAACAGGAAAGGAAACTATACTGTTAGATGCGGACATAACAGACACAGAAGGAGTTCAACCACGCTATCAGCTATGGAAGACGATAACGTGGTATGCAAAGCCATAAAAGAAGTATCTATGTTGAAAAACTTATAGAATCAACGGCGAAGAATGTATCAATCGAACATATTACAGATGGAGTTGAATGCGGTATCTATTTCAACTTCAATGGCATCTTAACAATATTTATTGTGTCAAAAAATAAAGAGAGTCTTTAATTTTGTGTCTGAAATAAAATGGCAAATTTCTGTCTTACTTCATATAATATTTTTTCATAGTAAAATTACTTATAAACCACTAGGGGCCTCGGCCACGCGTTGCTGTGGTATACATTTTATACTATTATTCATATTATAAACTAATCAATACAGTGGAAATTTTATATTTTTTATTATAGGAATTCGAGTGATTTTATTTGAAGTCTAATTTTGAATATATTCATTGAAATCAATTTCAGTGGAAAAACTAACGACTTTAAGACTGTTTTCCCAATGTGCGGTTATCAGCTTTTCTGTCCAGTTAACAGAGGTGTTCGTTTAATAGAGTGCCCATTTAATAGAGCGTTCACTGTATTTTTTAATTATGAATTGTTTTCACCATCMCATCTWCTAAGTTAGTCCGAATTGTATACAGTGTGCTAAATTTTACTAAAATCGGTTCAGTAGTTTAGGCGCCCAWCGCGGACAAACAACGTGACATGTAATTTTTATATATTAGGTTGTCAAAAAATTATTATTGAATTTTCAATTGATCATAAAATTTTTTTTGATGACTCATGCCCAGCTCTTGACCGATGCTACGGCTGCTCCTGTGCCGGTCTCTTTCGACCAATTCGGCGATTTTATCGCAATTTTCAATGACAGGCCTTCCGGAGCGTGGCGCATCTTCGACCACCTCTACACCAGAACGAAAACGTTGAAACAATCGTTGTGMGGTGGAAATGGAAACTGTATCGGACCCATAAACTGCACAAATTGCATTGGCGGCTTGAGATGCATTTTTGCCTTTATCGTAGTACTACTGTAAAATATGCCGTATTTTCTCTTTATTTTTCTCCATGCTTGCGACGCTATAACTCACGAACGACTTAAAAGAAACGACAATCAATCAAACGCGTGTTAGCGCGTGAAATGAGCTTCCAAAAAAGTATAGCATGACCCGATGCGACGAATAAAACTAGAACTACGCGCTCTCAGCGCCAACTAGCAAAAATACCGCAAGACTTTTTTGACAAGCTAATATAAAGATTTAGCCCTTGGGAGGAGATGGGGAGATGCGGAAGCATTGACTGTAAACGGTTTTTATTTAGGGATATAGTAGACCTAATTCCCCTTTAAACAAAACTTGTTTAGTTGGTCTTAGATTGAGCAATGGTTTCTGCTCAAAAAACCAACAATAGCTTTGTCCACACTTYYAGATGTCACGTAATTCCGCTMTCYTTTTGGCTTGTCATCTACGTTTTCAGTTTATTGATAATGATTGGATCACCGTTTTACAAATATACAACTCAATATTTATGTATGTTATCAATCAACTTTTTAAGCAGAATAAAATTTAGAAGTATTTAACTCGCTTAYTTATTTGATTTATGAACTATTGAAYTTTAAAATCGATGAAAAATTATACCTGAATAATTTCAAAGATTAATTGTTTATCCAATAGTCAACTGTCAACTGTCAGCTGTCACAGTCTATGCAATAAGTTATGTTTACCAACCAGGTAACGTTTCTCTGAGTTTTTTGTTTTGCACATTCAGCATTGTATTTTCTGCACTAACTACATATGTCGCATTAATTTCCACTGTAGTTGTAGTAGCAGATTGCTTCGCTTATCACCGAGTGTCATGCCAAGCCGACTCATTTGCACGTCAAACTGGCTGTCACAAACAATCAAACCAACATATGAAACAGAACAACAAAATATATTGTAAGCAGAAGCACATCTGTTGACACAATTCACGGTGTGAGAGAGTATGTGTGGATGTGTGAAAWTATGCGATTGTAAATCGAAATGARTTCGTAATAATTTTCTCTCCGTCTTATTGACGGATTAATTTTGTAACTTTAATGACTTTTCACCGAAAATATGTTTGTGTAAGCGTCTGGTTAACAGTGAGCGCGTTCTGTTGCCACACACCTTCATTGACACTTTCGCCTCAACTGTTTTTATGTTTCATTCGCAAATTGTTTGCTTGCAATTTTTAATTACTTTTTGTTGCGAAATTGTGGTAAACRCATACACACAGAGCAGTAAATAATAAAATATATAAAAACATAAATCAACTAAGTATGTACAAACATAAGGATGTATGTGTGAGTRTTTGCGGCATTTGCTTAAAATTAAACTAAATTTAGTTGGAGTTCAAGCAATGGAATGAATGTTGGTTTTTATATTTACATATTGAGTTTTAAACGCCCAGAAGGAAATACGTGAGATCCTGAATCCAATTTAGTCATGTTCGGTGGCTTGTTTGTCTGTCTGTATAAGTAATTTTCTCCCCAAGAAACTGTACACTTTCCGGCTATCAGACTTATATTTAGGCTTATCTTTGATGGAAAGCTTTCATGGAGGCCAAATATTGAGGAGAGAGTAAGTATTGGTTGCTTTATATTGCTGTAGAGGAGCCATAGGGAGAAGATGATGCTCTCACCAAAAGGAGTTATTTTGAAACCATAGTCAAGCCAATGATCTTCTATGGCGGGTTCGTCTGGTGGAAGGCGCTCAAAAAGGCTACAATTGCTAGAAAGCGAAAGAGCGTCTACACCAACAATATAACTTAATTATAATATAAACAGCATCCGTGGATACTGGCGGCAGGACACGCCGGAATTCGTTCCCCCCCCCCCCCAACTGCGTTCATTGAAACTCGTTTCACTGCGTTGCAGAGGCTAATCTCGGCGGCTTTTTCTCTTCCTACCTACGAAGAATAAGTGCATAGGAGTTGTTTGAGAAGAGATGTAATGAGTCTTGGAAGGGGAGTTCTTAGCTTAGATCTAGGTTGACGGGTCACTGTAGTATTTTTCAAGCAKAAGTGGCTGCTATTAAAGCAAAATAAGATAMATAGAGGAAGATTGCTCTGCTACATAAGGTCTGTTTTGCCCTTACTAATAAAGTAGCAGTAGACGTTCTGCTCCGGAGAGTGCAGCTTTAAACTCTGAGCTCTTAAAGTTAGTGGATTATCYATCCTCTATAGAAAAAGCTTTAAGCCATTCATAGTCAGACTTTGGTTGCCGGCCATACCGGAGTCGTTSAAATTGCAAAGTCGATGAGGTTGCCGGAGGAACATCTTGTGCTCTAGCACTGGACAAATGGGCCTCGCGTGCGCTTAATAGACGATGGTTGACGATCCGCTGCTGTGCGACTGTATGCTTTTTTAAGCCTGAAGAAGAAAGAAAGATATATACTGAACTATTTGCCCTTAGTACAGTTAATTTTGCCGCAATCATAGGGGTTTTCACTGGTCATTGCTTAATTGGCATTCAGGATAAGAGTCTTGCCAGAAGCAATTTGTCAAAATTGAATAGAGGAGAATGAAGTGAGAGCAGTTAATCACTTTATCCTTCATTGTCTCGTCTTTGCACGACTAAGGTGTTTCACCCTCGACAGTTTCACCTTCCGCGAACCAGGAAACATAGTCGAAACTGACATTAATTATTGTCCTATGATGGGATGCAAACAAGTGTCTTAAATCTCRTTCATCAATTGTTTTTGAAAGCAATACACAAACAAMAAAACTCACCTGATAGTCGGCGCGCTGCTCACGTATCTCCTCAAAACACTGTTTGGCACATTGAAAACTCGGCGCAGACGTGGACGCATAGACCAGCATGAAAGCRTGGGCGGTGGCAATGGATAGGCGRCGCATAGCGGGAAATTGCATATCACCGGAAGTGTCTAAAATGTCAACCTGCCAATAAAAGAAGATAATAAATWTGAATTAAWTKGCACMTGTTAACARGAAGTTTGATAAAAATATTTCTATTAAAAAGATAAGCGTTTAAAATACTATATAATACTTAATTTTTGTATATGTAGTGGCTCAGTTGGAATTAATATTGCGAAACTTCAAGAGAGACTTTTAATAATATTTTAGCACTCATTTTTCTCTCAAGATGGCCTTTTCGTAGATTGTTAAAAAAGGCGGTAAAATGAAAAAAAAAAAAAAAAAGAATAAATATGTTCATTGGGGTCACGGCGTATGAGTGATCTTTAGTACTAGAGAATATCGATTTCAAAACCGTTTCAGGGCTGTTGTTATTGGATATGTGATTGTAATTCGTTGTATGAGGACAAAAACTAAGACGCTAAAACAAAAAAAAAAAAAAAATAAAAAATGATATGCAAATATGTAAAGCACACATGGCGTTTAAGTAACCTTTGTTGACGCTGAAAACGAATTTTGAAACAGTGACTGGATTATTTTCAATGGCCTATTTTCAAATTGGCATAAAAAACTGCATATAAATTGCAGGAAGTTTGAAATCATCGAATATCTCTGATTAAATTGCTATTTGTATATACTAAAAAAATATTTGTTGAACTTGAGATTTTCGCAACAAAGCGTGTGAACTTTTGCCCCAGCAAAGCATATATAATACTGCCAAATATTACGATGAATAAATTTTCGAACATTTAACGGCTTAGACTCTTTACAAAGAAAACATTTCGYCCATTTCTCCTCAATATATGTGTGACTGGTTAAAAATTCAGCAGATTCACTGGCCGCAATATTGCCACTAAGTTTCTTTTCAGACAAAAACTGTGCGAAAAATTGCTAAAAGTTCATAAAAGCAAGAAAAAATATTAACTTTGATTGCACTGAAACAAGAATAATCTTCGGATATAAAAAGGGTTCAATGCAAAAACTTGATTTTGATCATTCAGTTTGTATGGCAGCTATATTCCATAGTGATCCGACCTGAACAATTTCTTCGGAGATTACATAATTGCCTTAAAAATAATCCATACACACACAGACACGATTTTGATTGTTCAGTTTATATGACAGATATATGCCATACTAGTCCGATATCAGCGGTTTCTTTTCGGGAGAAAAAAAACGTGCGCGTAATTTCAGATCGATATCTCAAGGACTAATGTACTAGTTTCAGTATAAAAATTGGCATGTGAACACGGCGTATGAGTAACTTCTGGAAGACAGCGTTGAACTTGTTATAATTCCTAACAGTTAAAAGCAAAATTTTAACAAAGGCACTGGAATAATTAGTGTGCATTCTAATAATTCTTGATAATTATATTTCTCGCACACTACTTCCACACAAACAACTGCTCACAGTGATACCTGCAATAGATTTGATATGAAAAATAATTTTTTTTAATATTTCAAAGAGTCTTGAAAACGTTTTTTTTTTCTTCGCTGCACGAAATTGGCACAGCGGTTTCCGATTCGTTTGCAGTGAGCAGACAAAGGTGTGGAAAGGRGTTTTATTGCATTTGCGCGCCTGGCCGAGACCTTAAAACTTTGCAATTAATAGCAAATTCGCGTGGAACTAATTGCAATTATGCCAACATTCTGTGATTCTAAGATTCTAAATGCCACAAAGGCATTGATTGCTGTCTACATTTTAAGCTATTTTTTATTTA